TGGGGATCCTTCCCAAACCTTCTACAACCTGACAGGTGCCGGAAATGCACACCTCTCCGCCAAGCTTCCGAGTGCCTTAGAGATCAGTGGGGCTGGGGCAGGTCTTCCTTTCGGTCTGGGGCTGCCCCTTGAAGGTGCCTTCACTTGAGCCTTCTATTCTGTTTTCTTCTGCCTTTATGACAATCATGTATTTTTTTTTCCTCCCCGTATTGTTTGCTTAAAGTTGTAAGAGGGGAGGCAAAAGAATAGCTTACAATAAAATCTTTTGTCCCACGCTGTCTCTTGCCTCGTCGTTTTGACCGTAATAGGCAGGGTGTTCGCCAATGTTCCCTCTAAGCTGTGGAGTCTTGTGAGCAAAAATTCTGCTTTGTGAGCTACTGGCATTAAAGTGGTGAGCGAGTGATTTGGCTACTGCATAAATTAGTTCGCTCTGGAGCCCTCCTTCCTGAGCGAAGACAAAAATGTGTGAGCCGGAGGCTAAAAAACTGTGAGCTAGCTCACACTAACTCAGCTTAGAGGGAACACTGGTGTTCGCTTTTTTCTGGGAATGTGATAGAGGGAAACTGGGATGAAGGGGGAGGGGCCTATATTGTGAGGTCATAGAATGCTGGCAAGGCCGAGAGAACAGCCATGCTGAGCCAAGGAGAACTTCTGCTGCTCCGTCTCCTGTCCTTTTTTACAAGTTTCCTTAGGGTGGCCTTGACACTGACTGACTCCCAACGGGTGACAGGTGAGCACATTTCTCCCGTACACCACTCCCTCCAAGTACATATGGCACATCACCCAATAATGTAACCCCATCTGCACCCTGTATAACAAAACCATATGCAGGAGATCTCATTTGGCACTAACAGAGTGTTTGGTTACAATTGAACTTCATCCTGGGCATGTTTGGGCATGTACTGCTTTAACTGTTGTGGCTTCCAACCAAAGAATCCTCAAAATTGTATTTTTTAAGAGGGGGCTAGAGATTTGGAACCAGGAATCAGCAGCATCCTCACAAAACTGTTTGTGGGGGGGTCTACTAAAAACCCTGGAATGGGCAAAAGTCTTTTTACATTTAGTTTTAGACAAGTGGGAGCCATCTGATTTTCTCTCCCACCAGCCAAACTACCTTAATCTGCACCCCCCCTTCACCTGTCCTTCCCTTGCTCCTCCCCCCTGGCAGCCTCTAACTGGGAAAACTATGGCCCAGTGCATGGTGGGAAATCTGCAGGGAGGGCACATCATTTCCCCTTGTATTATTCCCATCTCTGCACTATTTCTTCTTTCCCTTCTCCTGGCAAACCCCCATATCCTCACATTTCCCTGCTTCCTTTTCATTCCCACCCACCATCCTACCTATCTTTTATCTGCCCCCAACTTTGGCTATATTGCTGTTTATACCCTGCCTTACATTATTCTCCTCCTCCATTTTAACCTCACTACAACCCTGTGGAGAAGTTTAGTTGGAGAACCTGTGATTGGCCCAAAGTCACCAAGTTCTCTTCCATGGCAGAGTGGGGATTATGAACTTGGGTCTCCCTGATTCTGGTCTGAAACTCTTAACTACTGGATCACACTGGCTTTGCTGAGGTGGCTGCTCTCAAACAGAAGCAAGCCACCAGGCCTGGGTGAGCAATGCAAGTTGTGTGGAAAGGGCTCTCCCCCCCCATGCCTTTTGCTGACAGAAATTGAGGCTGGCAATACTGGTGTGGTTGCCTAGCAGTGGCCACTGAGGACATTCATTCCTTAGCGCTACAGGTATTGCTTCTGTTGGGGGGGGTGCTAATGGCCAATTTTCTTTTTAGAGCCAGTTTGGTGTCGTGGTTAAGTGCGTGGACTCTAATCTGGGAGGAACCGGGTTTGATTCCCCACGCCTCCACTTGCACCTGCTGGATGACCTTGGGCAAGCCATAGTTTTGATAAGAGCTGCCCTTGAAAAAGAGCAGTTTCTGTCAGAGCTCTCTTAGCCCCACCTACCTCCCAGGGTGTCTGTTGTGGGGAGGGGAAGGGAAAGGGGTTTGTAAGCCGCTCTGAGACTCCTTTGGGTAGTGAAGGGCGGGGTATAAATCCAATCTCTTCTCTTCTTAGATTTCGGGGGGGGGGTTGCAACCAGGGGACTTTACAGGTTAGTAGAAAGATCTTGTCTAGCCATGGCTCCAGTCTCTGGATTTATATATCCACAGATGAGGCCATGTTGAGAATGAAAAGTACTGATGGTGCATAACAGAACAGCTGGAGTTTGAATGGGGGGGGGAATCTTCTTATTTTCATGGCATCCTATAGATTCCCAGTAGAAACGACTGATGAGGTCCCACTAACATCACATCATCCAGCACTAATAACTTACCTAAATTTATCTTGCAGTCTGTGCTGCACTGAAAAATATACCTATGCCCTTCCCTTTCTCTCACCTATTATTATTGTTATCGTACAGCATTGTGTGTAGACTAGCCAGGAGATCCTAAGATCATCTGGCAGCGAAAAGTTTTACCTCTTTTAGCACGATGCACCCACTAGGTGGCGAGCTAGACTTGTTTTTAGGCAGGAGACGTTTCAGAGGTGGTTTGCCAATGCCTGCCTCTGTGTCACAGCCCTGGTATTCCTTGGAGTCCTCCCATCCAAATACTAAAAAGGCCGGTGCACTGGAGGGGGATGGGGGAAAGAGGAAATCCAGACTTTCCCACTCACATGATACCCTGCCTGCCTCTATCGCCATCTTTCCTAAAATGTCACAGCAGAGCAAGTTTGGGAAAGACCGCAGGAAGCATGAGGGCAACCAGGACGAGGCAGAGAAGCAGCTCAGTGCCTGCGGAGGGGAGCAAAGGGGAGAACGCCTCCTCCCCAACAGGATCCGAGTTGGGCCGAATAGCGTGCGTGCATTAAGTAACCTAAACCAGAACTCTCAAGGGAACTGTCGGAAAGAGAGAGAGCTGCTCTATGAATGGGAAAACTGTCTTGGAAGAACAAATTAATATTTTCATAGAGGAATGAACACCGCCCCTCCGCCCGATCTCTCAGTGATAGAGGCTTTCTGGCTTCTTGGGTCTACAGCGCCTGAAGAAAAACCAGAGCGGGCCAAGGAACTAAAGCCCTCTTCGTCCCACCCGCCGCTCTGGTTCGATTATCCAGACTCCGACAAAGAGAAGATCCTTGCTGTTTACAAGCTCATTGGAGAAGAGCCTGTGTTCGTTGCCCCAAGTGAGACGTGGTCCCTCCCCCAGTGAGCCTGGCTGCTCTGCTGCTCTGTCCTCAGGTGGAGCCTTGTGTGTGTGTGGGGGGGAGATGTCCTGCGGTCAAGGAGCTCCCACAAGAAACCTCCCCCCCCCCGTTGTCCCCTTCAGGCACCTTCCCTCAGCAGTTGCGGTTTATCCTGGCCGGATCCATCCTGCTCATCCTCCTGTTCTTCCTCTACCAGATCTGCACTAAAGTGTATGTGTTGGGGCGCGCCCTCCACATGGGTCGTCCTGCAAGTATATTCTCCCCCCCCCCCCCGCCGCCTTTGGAGGTAATGGTTTGCTCCCCCCCCTCACTGATTTCCCTTCTTCCTTTAGGATCGGCAAAAAGGGGGCAGCCTAAAAAGACTCCGGAAGATCAACCTTTTACCCCTCCTCCTGGTATCACTCCTGTGCAATAGAACACTTGACGGTTTGTGAGAACCCCGATCAGAGGAAAGTTAGGAGGTCTGGGATTGCGAGAGAGGGTTACCTGGGAACGCTTGGGAGTTCTGGTGGCAGGTAGACCCTCTTTCGGAACTGGGGAGTTGCGCACCTGGGCTGGTTCCAGGTTTTGGGGGGCCCTGGGCAGAGAGTTCCCAAGCCCTCCCCAACATGCACCCCTCCCTCCCCACTTGTGAGCTCCTCCGCCCCCCCCAATGCTTCCTGTGGCTTGCAGCCCCTTCCCTAGTGGGGCAGGGCGTGCAGCCGGGAGCCTGGTGGAACTCCGCCAGCGAGGGAGTGGGGAGGGGTCAGGGGTCGGCAGCCGCAGGGCCTACTGGAAGCCCTGGGCCTTGGTGGCTGCACGGAAAGGCCCAGCAGGGGAAATGGCAATAAAGACAGATGCGTGGCCCTCTGCAGGCATTAGATAAAGGCTCCTTTAATACTTTGCAGATTTCAGGTTATAAATACAGCCCGCCCACCCCCTATTTACAGCTGGATCCCCTGCCCGGTGGAGTGGGGATTTCTAGGGAGGAAGAGTGAAGGCGGGGGGGGGGGGGGGGGTGCGCTGAATGGAGGAGAAGGTGGCAAGGGGGCAGGTGCTCCCCTACTTGGTTATTGCTAGCTGGGGGGCCTGATGGTGGTTAGGAAGCACCCCTCTGGTCACCTTCCCATTGCAAGGGCGTGCAATTGGGGATGTCCCTGGTGGGCGGCACCCCGGTAATACTGCAGATTACGTCCTAGTCAAGCAGCACCCAGAAAGTCTTAGGGTTTTATTATTTTTTTCTTCTTCTTGATTGGGCATCCTACGAAAATCCCTAAGCACCTTGAATAATACTGGGGGATACTGTGAGTCTATGGTTAATAGCTGAGAACGTCCCCTCTGTCTATCTGCCCCCCGCCGTAGGACGAGCATGACCCCCACGCCAGTGACTGGAGTTGTCTTGCCTGGCCTCTGCTCAGATCAACCTGGGGCTGGGCCTCACGGGTATGCTGCGAGAATCTACGAAATACTCCAAATAAACGTTTTGAGTTTTTCCTTTGTTTCTTTGGCTTGGCAGATCCCTCCATGTCGTCCCCCCCCCCCGAACCCCTTTGTCTTGTCTCACAGCCCCAAACGAACTTCAACCGTACCCGGGTCTTGGCCTTTTAGAAACCCTCCCGGCCTGAAAGTCTCCCTACAAGAGAGATCCCATGTGTTCTCCTTTGGCTGGGGACCCTGACCTCACCAACCCCCCTCCCCGAAACTTCTAAATTGCTTATAATTAGAGGGTTGCCTTTGGCAACAGAATCCCATAAGAAACCGGGGGGGGGGGGGGGCCTTGCGCCGGTCGTTCCTTTCCCCTGCCCTCTGAATACTCGGTTCCAGCCCCCTTTCCGAATCCCCTTTGGCCGAGGAGCCCCCTCCCCCAGTTACTCCAGTCCCTCCCGCCCACCACCCAATAAATAAATAAGTTAGAGGAACGTGTGTGTTCTGTCCGTCTGTGGCTGAGATGGGGGCAGCGCATCAGTCCAGCACCTGCCCTTCTTCTGGCCGGTGCCCATTCCGCAAGGCCTGCTCCTTCGCGGTGCTCCGGGCGCGGGAAAAGACGCGGAAGGCTCCCCGGCAGATGAGGCCGAACCAGTAGACCTGGGGTGCCATGAGGACGGCCGATCCCAGGTTGTACTCGGCGGGGATGGAGAAGGGCACGCGGTAGAGGGGGATCCCGACATACTTCCCGTAGACCCAGTACATGTAGGGGAAGAGCAGGATCCGGCAGCAGAAGAATGTCACCAGCACGATGACCCCGTTGACCTTATGCAGAAGCGTGTGCTGCTGCTTGTACTGCGGGGGGGGGGGACAAAGAGGGCCAAGAGAGCGGGTCAGGCAGCCTTCCGTCACCACCCCTTCCCCTCTGCCCAACCCCGCTTCCCTTTCAGCAAGCCGGAAGGCCAGGCTCCTGCCCGCCACAGGCGCTGCTTTTCTCCCCAGAAGAAACTCCCCTGCCCCGCTGGGATCATTCCATCCTTTCCCCAGGAAACCCACCAAACTGGGACGTCTACTTACCAGAATGAGGACCTTGCCGAGGCAGACGAAAGGGGTGCTGAGTTCAGCCATTAGCATGCAGCCCAGGAAGAAGTCGCCCTTGCCCTGGCGCCAGAGCTGCAGGGGGGAGACACGGGAGAGGAGTGAGCGTTCTGGGGAGGGGCGTCCGAGGACGGAGCACCCCCCTCCGGGGCCCCCAAGGGCTGGCACGTCACATGCCTTCCCGGCGGCCCCCCACTCACCACGGACACGGGGAAGCAAACCAGCACCATGAAGAGGTGATGGACCACCATGAGGAACTCCTTGTGTAAGTAGGTGCGGGTGACAGTGCGCAGCGATCGTGTCCCCGCCGCCCCTGAGGCCGCCTCGTGCCCCTTGACCCGGTACTTGTGCCAGTGGCACATGAACATGGCGTAGATGTCGTAGATGAAGTAGGGAATGGCAAACTGGGTGTAGGTTGCTGTCAGCCAGTGTCTGCAAGGGAAGGGAAGGACAGGTGAGTAGGACTGAGTTACACTAGAATCACGGCAGAGAACTTGACCATCGTAAGAATGCAAAAGAGCCCAGCTGAATCAGACCAGCGGTCCACCTGGGTCAGTATCCTGCTTCACCCAGCAGTTAAACAAGTGCCCCGAGGGGCCAACAAACAGAGTCCCCCATCTTGGAACAGGCTGAAAAGGCCATGATCAGTGTTCTCTTCATGTTTAGAGGTCTACTGTCTCTGAATGTGGAGGTTCCCTTTCGTCACCCCGGCTAGTAGCCATCAATGGATGGCTTGAATCTCTTGCATGAATCTGTCCAGTCCTTTTCCTAACATCACCTATGTAAGTGGCCGTCACTGCGGACAAGGGCAGTGAATTCCACAATTGAAGAACTATTTTCTTCTATGCAAAATCTATTGTGCATCAACATCACTGGGCGACCATGAGGGCTGCTCTTAGGGGAGAGGGAGAATTTCCTGTCCGCTTTCTCCCAACCCTGTTTCATGCGTTGATAACTCTCTACCACCACCACCACCACCACCACCCCAGTCTGGAAATCTCCAGACGCTTCGTCTTCCCTAGCAGAAAAGGTGCTTCAGCCCCTTCATCTCCACTTTTCCCAGCTCCGCCATATCTTTTCGGAGATACACCAACTACGGCTGTATCCAGTACTCTCAAACGGGCCATGCCACAGACCGGTACGGGGGGCATACGTACACCGGCTGTTTTGTTTTTCTGTCCCTTTCCTAATAATCCCCAGCATGGAGTTTGCCTCCCATGAGGGAGACGTCAGATCTCCCCCCCATCTTGGAACAGGCTGAAGGCCACGGTCGATGAATATTGATGGCCTGCCGATGTGCTCCGCTTGGAAGGTCAACGAGAACGCCGTTCCTGCCTTTTCCTGTTCCCCAACGATACCCTTCAGGCCCAGACTGGCTACCACAGCTCCTTGGCTACCACAGCTCTGGGCTCCCCTCCGTCCTCCTCTTTCCCGACCCACACCAAGGGTGGCTGCCCACAAAACGTGGGCTGTGATTCTCCCCCTCCAGCCCGTCCTGCCACCACTGTAACGGCAACCACCATCCAGCACAAGAGCCAACCCTCGTTAGGGCGTCCTTCAGTCAACATGCAGGAAGCTGAAGCTTATTTGTGGCCTTTCGGTCTGGGGCCTTGTTTCAAAGCTGGCGGGGGGGGGGGGCTTTTATAAAAGTCAATAGGATAAACTCTAAAGGACTGCAGGTTTAATTCAGTTGCTTTGCAGGTGAGAAGAAGTGAAAGTTCTGGGACTCCTAGAAGTGCTTCTGGCCCCAAGGAACCAGGCTGACTCAGACGCAAACTGAGTGCTGTTTCTTTAAACAGGGGCTGTGACTTCCTGCCACATCCTGACCGGGTTCTCTTTGCCCTCCTCCCTCCCCTCCTTGCTGCAGCTTGCCTGGGCATTTGTGCTGACAACAGGCCCTGCTCTGCAGGCAAAGTGATTAGGCCGAATGCCAGTGAAGCCAGCTAGACACTGCAGCACGAAGCAGGACTCAGGGCCCCAGATGGACTTTGTGGGGTGCCCAGAACTGGGAGAGCAAAGGAGCCAAAAGGGATTGGAGGGGCATTTTGTGCATGTGTGTGTCAGGTCAGTATGGCGTTCATTTGTTGTTCCTGCCTTTGGGGGGGGGTGTCAATTAAGGACATTTGCATGTAGTGGAAAGATTGCCAGGGAAACCTCCCACCACTTCCCAGAACGCCTTTTTGGTTCCAAGTGTCAAGAGCGCGCGGACCTCTTTTGCAAGAATGGGCAAAACTTCACTGAGACTCATTCCGACATCCGCAAGACAATCTAGCAGCCCGGCCTCCAAAACCCTGTGCTCTAACCAATCGGAGCTCACACCTGGAGAACCCAGAAATCCAGCCTCCGGCACAGACTTCGCACGCTTTGAGCCCACTCCCCTTTCAGGAAGCTCAGGAATCCATCCTTGCTGCCTGCCCAATAAAGCTAATTGTGGGTGCAAAGACCTCAAACCGGCAGTGGAAACAGCTGTTGCTTTGGTCTAATCCCCTCCCCTGCTGCATCCTGTGAGGGAATTAACACACATGGCCCATCAAGAGAGTCTCTCCGGGGGAAGGGAATAATCCCCGCTAAACTCATTAGAGTGAAAGGAAGCAATCTTGATGACAAAGCCAGGAGGGGCCGCCTGAATGAGAGAGACCAGGCAGCCGGGTTCTCGGACAGGCACCCTCCACTGTCCCGCCCCCTCCTCGGAGAGCTCCGGCGCTTTTGAAATTCCTGCTTGCCCTGCAGAGCTGCCCTCCTGCCAAATCGGTTTCTGCAGAGACTTGGGGCTGGCGGCTCTCCCAGAATCCAACGGGACTGCCAAAATTCTTTTCCTGCACTCTCTTCAGCGAACTCTCTGGGAAACCTCGGCTCACCTCCCCCATAGACTGCTGTGTGGCCTCTTGGGGACCGTTGGGTGAAGGGGGCTGTCCATGGTGCTGACGTGGGGATGCAAGCGTCCCGAGTGCTTTTGCAGGACCATGGACAGCGCCATGCCTTGGATGGGCCAATAAGCCTCAGCCGCTCACAGTCACCTCTGCCCTGCTCCCTCCAGCGCCCCCTGCAGGGAGCTCTCTTCGCAAGTGGAATTCCTTTCTTTGCCCCTCCCCTTGCCCAAACAACCTCTTCGTGGGACGGAAGCAGCAGGGTGCTCTCTCATACAGACAAGCCCCTGCCCCCCCACAGCGCCTCCTGCAGGCGACACCAGTGCACTGCACAGCAGCGTCCCCTTCCCGGTCTCGAACTGCCCCACCCTCTCCGGCACATCTGCCTTTGACATGTCACTGTCATCCTGTTCTAAATTTGGTGCCCGTCCCGGTGTGGGTGTCAGGTTTCTCACTAGCGTGACCTTGCCAACACGCTGCTGGGCTGGATACAGAAACCCAAGGTTTGGAAGGGGCGGGTGCAGCGAGGGGGGGAACCGGGACAGAGGCACCGCACTGCAGTGTCGCCCCGGCATGCAGGCGAAAGCTGACTTACTGGTCGTCGATAATGTGCTTGCAGGACGAGGAGACGATGTAGCCGACCGTAGAAGCCATGATGGCCTGCACAGAGGACACCAGCCTGCGGAGTGGGGAGACAGGGGGGACGGAGACAAGTCGGACGGGCTGTTTCTCCCACTCTGCCGCCTTCGCAGAGCCCGCCTGCCAGCTGTCCCTGGTCTGAACTCTGCTGTTGAGACCAGCAGACCCCCCCCTGGCCTGTGCCACTCCAGCCCACTCCTCCAGAGCACCACCTGCATCTATAGCCCTTTCCCCTTCTCACACCTACAGCGCACTCCGAGGGGGTGGGCAACAATTCTGCGGGGTGCCGGAGGGCTGGGAGGCCCAGCTGCCCCTCGACCCTGCGTGCAGCCTGGTCATGTGACTGCCAGAGACTGTCAGCACGGAATTCCCGGGAAACATTCTAAGCGATGAGAGAAGCCGGGCATCCCGTCCCATTGGTCCTCCTGGGGCCCCCCAGTGTTCCCTCTAAGCTGAGTTAGTGTGGGCTAGCTCACAGTTTGTTAGCCTCTGGCTCACAGAGCCTTGTCTTAGCTCGGGAAGGAGGGCTCCACAGCAAACTCATTTATGCAGTAGCCAAATCGTTCCCTCACAACTTTAATGCCAGCAGCTCACAAAGTAGAGTTTTTGCTCACAAGACTCCACAGCTTAGAGGGAGCATTGGCCCTTCATCCACCCACCCACCCACGAAACTGTTCTTGATACTCCCAGGACTGATACTCCCAGCTGACTGCCTCGATCCCCAGCAGATCCTCCCAAACCCTCACCCTAAAAAAGAGCAAGAGTCCAGCAGCACCTTAAACAATAACAAAATCTGTGCTAGTGTAGGAGCTTTCGTGAGTCATTGCTCACTTCTTCAGATACCAGCGACTTTTTTTTACTTTAGTCTTCAAGGTGCTGCTGGACTCTGGCTCTTTTCTATTGCTAACAGGCAGACTAACCTGGCTAGCCCTCTTGACCTAGCCCTCAAGTTCACACGCGTCAGTTTGGGGCTCCAAATATCCCAGGCGAAAAGAAAACCTCTGGGTTAATCACCAGCGCTGATTGTCCTCGTGAGTGAGTGGCAACTTATCATCCTGGTCCGGCCCTTGCTCAACCCTTCGCTCTAAATTAATAAGCCTCAATCTCTCCCAGAGGACTCGGGAGTTCTGGCTCGCAGCCCCACTGTAATCCACCAGACCGTACTTGCCCAGAGAACCGAGGACTCCCTGGCTTCTGGCCTCTCTCCCTACTTGCCAGTCGCCCTTCAAAAGCCAAACACAGAGTAAGGAGGCACGGTCTGCAGCCTGCCGTACCCCGCTCCCATCAGACCCAGGAGATCCCGGCCCCCAGCCTCTTCCCCTTCTTGGATCCCCTCCCCGAGGCTCACTAGAGCAACCGACTTCACAGCCTTTCCTCTTCACTGCAACAGACACCACTCCCCTTTCCGAGGAGCCTCGACTGCCAAAGCCCCAGGACCGCCCTTCCCCTCAGAAACAACAAAGAGGGGGTCCTGTTCCCCCCACACCTGAGGCCTGCTGACCACCCGACCGACCGACCGACCGCCCATGGCTCCTGGATCCCCGGCTGCGCCTTCCCTCTGCATCCCTGGTTACCTGGCGGAGACGATGACCGCGTCGGCCTCCTCCCATCGCAGCCAGGGCAGCCACTTGAGGCCGTTCTTGGACAACAAGAAGAGGCCAGGGAAGACAATGCCCCCTGCTATCAAGGCGTGGAACATCTCCGCTTCAGGCTGCAGGGTTGGGGGGGAGGGGGGGGCAGCGGAGAGGGGGAGGGTCAGCGGGGCCACCCTCGGGGAAGGCTCATGGTCCTCTGAGGGGGTGAGGGGGGATGGAGAGGGAAGGGGGGGACGGCGGTGTGGCGGGTTGGTCCCAAGCAGGGCTGCTGTGACAGACAGAGAGAGAGACAGGGAGCCAGGGGAGGGAGGGGGGAG